AGAGAGAGAGAGAGCAACAGATAGAGAGACAGAGAGAGAGAGAGAGCAACACATAGAGAGACAGAGAGAGCGAGAGAGAGAGAGAGCGAGAGAGAGAGAGGAGATGGACTAAAGAAGATTTTTTTTGACTACTGTAGAGGAAGTCACCAACATTCTCCGGTTGTCGTCTAACTTCCTCCTGTAGAATATTTTTGGTTGTTTTGCCGATAGATGGAGTGAGATATTTGTTCAGGTGTTATTAAAGCTTCCTTACTTTCTGTGTGAAAAAATGATCATCTCAAGGACAAAAACAGCTCTTTCTCTTTAAGTCTTTGGTGACACACCACCCCCTGCAGGTGGAGTCACCTAAAGGATTTTAATCAGTTGAACACTTCGAGATGGCAGCACGGTGGTGCAGTTGGTAGAGCTGCTGCCTCTCAACGAAAAGGTTGTCCATTCAAATCTCAGTCTGGGACCTTTCTGAGTGGAGTTTGCATGTTCTCTCCATCTCCGGGTCCTCCGGTTTCCTCCCACAGACCAAAAACATGCGTGTTAGGCTGATTGGTAACTCTAAATTGTCCCTAGGTGTGAGAGAGAGAGTGAATGTTTGTTTGTCTCTATGTGTCCCTGTGATGGACTGGAGACCTGTCCAGGGTGTCCCCCATCTCTCACACAGTGACTGTTGGATATGGGCACCATTCATTCAACCTTTACTTAAACAGGTTAGTCCCATTGAGCCATGAGGACTCGTTTCCAAGAGAGACCATGACCCCTGAAAAGGAAGAAGTGGGTAAAGATAACGGATGAGTGGAACATTTAGAGACTTAGTTAAAAAGTTAGTGGGGAGTTAGATCAACAATACCCCAAAAAACAAGAAGAAAACATTTATTATCACAAAACAGAGTATGAGCAGGGCCAAACACTCTAAACTCGTGTTGTTTTGTTTGTTTGTTACCCAGAATGTGTGTTGATTAGTTTTCCCCATACCTCTGTCTGAGTCACTGTTCTCCACTTTTGCTCCTGTGTTCACTTCCTGCTGTCAGCATGCTGTAAGACAATACTTTAAATCATCATAAACCTGCAGCCTTTTATTGTGAAAGTCTCACCTGCCTTTTTTAATCTTTTCTGAGATACCTGATCCACATGACCGCAGGCGGCTGCTGAGCAAAAGAAGATTATTAATGTTAAGCGGTCCTTTATAATGACACGTGTAATGAGTAATAGTGGGGCAGCCTTGTGCTTTGTGTCGAGGGGAGTGTTCTGTTTGAACACATCACGTTTTAATTTCACTCTGGACATTAAAAGCTGCTCTGCTGATGGACCAGCCTGTGTTGATGGAGGCAGTTTTAGGTGTTTGTGTGAACATGTGTGTTTCTGTGCCAGCCCATGTAAGAGTGTGTTGCCTTCCTCACACTCCCTGTGTTTAGGGCCCACCACAGGGCAGGGTGGGGCTCGTTCCCAGAACAGGGTGAGGCTCTCGCTCATCTTCTGCACAACTGCGCCGCAGCTCTCACCCTGTAGTCTCGCACTCGTTCACACAGTCAGGTTCTCCGTACGCTGTGTTTGTGCAGTGTGTCAGCAGAACATGAGGCTTTGCGTGTGTGAACTGTGGCGCTCCTCTCACAAACATGAGGATGAACTGCGCCGAACGTTGTGGTGCGGTTGTGTTTGTTTTCTTGACTTCAGCACTCCCTCTGCGTCAGGAATGAGTCTCTGCCACAAGTGGTGCACATGTGACGTGCATGTGAGTCTCGTTGAGAAGTGATAGCAGGATGGATGACGGATCGTGGCCTTTTCCTTAATAGGCCTGTCACAATAACAAATTTTGCTGGACGATTAATTGTTTCAGAAATTATTGTGATAAATGATAATATTGTTTTAAATTTGACAATAATTAGTAATTATTGTCAAATTTAAGAAGAAAGGTTGGTGAATTTTGTGTGTAGTAACTTTTTAGACCACCGGATGGCAGTATAAGACTGTTTGAACCGAAGGATGGATAGTGAGGGAGCGAGCAGCGTGTCTCTTTAAGAAAAATGGGAGGGAGGCCCCATGACGTGACATGGGCTGTCTCTCTTTGGTTCTCAAAACGGCGGACACTCGATGCAGTTTGAGCTCTTTAGCATAGCATTTGTCACACAAAGCTTTTAATAAAAAATCGGTAAACAAGTTTTCAGCTTCTTTTTGCAGAGAAAAACAACTTTTTATCTTTCGGCAAGACGGAGAAACCGAAAAAGTCTATTTCATTCCTTCCTTAAACTCTGTGTTTGTAATAATTACTCTTTTCTTTTCTTTTCAGCTGAAACACGAGATGTCCAACATCATTAGAGGCATGATGATCAACTACACGGGTCAGAACCGAACCACAGAACAAACCTGGGACTACATTCAGAAGACGGTGAGTCACAGAGCATCTGCTCGTTTATGTCACTCTAAAACTTAGACACAATAAAACTGAACAGGGTTTGAGTCTCGATCACTCAGTGCTTACATCATCGTTCTTGTTGTGGAACCTGAGTCCAGATGTGCTTGACTGACAGATGTGCTCACCGCAGATAACACGTTGAGCAACCAATTTAACCAGATCACTCCAGAAGAGCAACTCATTTGCAGTGCAGAAAATAACCTTAATGAAGTTTAGTAATTCAGGAAGTATTTGTATATTTAGAGTTATTATGCAACAAAAAGCAGCAGCCTGATTCTTGTTTAAAATTTGAAGCTGATGTTTTGGCTTCATGTCTTCGTTTTAATAATCAAATTCTATCATTTGGAAACAGATACATGAACGAAGCTGTTATCTGACGTGATAAGTAGCCTGAGTGTGTTTGTTTTCAGTGTGACTCAAGTGCTTGATAACAAGAGTCACTTCTAAACTACAAAAAACGTTTTTATTTTCATTGTATACATTTAAATAAATCTAGTTTTCACTCTGTATAATCCCCTCTGTCTTTTTATCTCCCTGTCGAAAGGCAGACGTATTCTGGTATTTATATACATATAGTGTCGCATATACTTTTCATCGCCCCAACTCCAAAATGAAGGTCACAAATCAAGGTCAAAATTAAAACACGGTTTTGCTCGTCAAGATCATAACTTCTGATCTGCTCAAGATATTCTAACAAAACTTGATATGGATTTGTACCACCTCTACACGGCGTGATCAGCCCAGCTTCAAGGTTAAGGTCACAAATCAAGGTCAAACATTATACAAGGTTTTTACTTGTCTGAGCCATTGCTATAGATTACTGTCAAGATGACGCCAAGATGGTGCCAGTCACGGCTGGCCATCTGTCACGTATGCTCTGCATGGTTTTATGCTGTTTGTTTGTTTTTTGGTAACTTTATTGTTTTTGGAGCGGCACACGATGTATTTTTTACTGTTTTTAATCTGACAACTGTAAAGCACTGTGGTCAGCTTCTGTTGTTTCTATGTGCTATAGAAATAAATTTATATTAACATTACAGTATACAGTAGTCCCTCGCTACTTTGTGGTTCGCTTATCGCAGATTCGCTCTATCGCAGATTCGCTCTATCGCAGTTTTTCAAAATAAAACTGGACATGATACACAATTGGCTGATTGATGGATGAGCCACACAATTGCCATGGAATTTGTATTTAAAATAAATTATTTTAAATTAATTAGCACCTCCTGCACATTTGTGCAGCCCACACTGCAGGATAAACTTCCTGCTGCAGCTGATCAGATGCTGATTGTGCAGAGTGGAGAAGTGGGCGTGGCCAAGAGCACGTATTTGGCAAAGAGCAGAGGAGGCAGAGAGCTGAAATCATGACACTCTGTGCTCTTTTAGAGTGTTTAGAGTTTAGAAACATTGTTTAGAATATTGCAAGAGTGTGGGAAGAGTTTAGAATGCCTTCATATATATAACTATATAAATACTAAAATAAACTACTACTTACTATCCTGATGCATGCTCAATACTTACTACTTGTACTAGTATTGCTACTTCGCGGTTTTTCACTAATAGCCGGGCTTCAGGGTATGGATCCCCCGCGACAAATGATGAGCCATACCACTCTTCATCCAGACTTTGTGTATTGTATTTGTATTGTATTGTATTGTATTGTATTGTATTGTATTGTGTTTGTATTGTATTGTATTGTATTGTGTTTGTATTGTATTTTATTGTATTGGTATTGTATTGTATTGTATTGGTATTGTATTGTATTGTATTGTATTGTATTGTATTGTATTGTATTTGTATTTGTATTGTATTGTATTTGTATTGTATTTATATTGCATTTGTATTGTATTGTATTGTATTTTATTGTATTTGTATTTGTATTGTATTGTATTTGTATTGTATTGTATTGTATTGTGTTGTAT